TTTTTATGACTTTTTACGCCTTACTATACTATGACTTTTTTTGACTTTTTCTGCCTTACTATGCTATGACATTTTTATGACTTTTTACGCCTTACTATACTATGACATTTTTATGACTTTTTACGCCTTACTATACTATGACATTCTTATGACTTATTATACTATGACATTTTTACACCTTACTATACTATGACTTTTTCTATGACTTTTTACGCCTTACTATACTATGAGTTTTTCTATGACTTTTTACGCCTTACTATACTATGATAGTTTCATGACTTATTATACTATGACAATTTTATTCCTTACTATACCATGTTGTTTTTATGCCCCTTTATGCCTTACTGAAAAGATGATTTCTTATGAAAGAAAAAGAAAAGAACACAATCAGACAGACAAGTCATCACTTTAATGTGGCAGGTTTTATTTGTGCACAAAGGACAGATCTGGTACAAGGCACTTTTGTTACTCTCTCTCTGAGTAACAAAAGTTTGACTGCTTGTGTGGTCATTTGCTCTCTGATGTGTGTGTGACAAGCTGATGTTGATCTGGAGATCTTCACATCCATGGGGCCTCTTAGCTGTTACTCGTCCTTCTTCAGAGCTCCTGAGATCATTCTCCATCTGTGGGGCTCTAACCATATAAGCAAACACAAACCTTCATCAATCTAACCAGGACCTCCAGATGTGATCTAAATACCTCGGGTTCCTTCATATATATACAGTCTAACATCAAAACATATTCTTATGTCAAAGTTATATGCATGTAAAATAATTAATACCTTACACTATTCTATGACTTACTATTCTATGCCTTACTATACTATGTAGTTTTTATACCTTATTATACTATGACATTTTTATGACTTTACTATGACTTATTATACTATGCCATTTTTACGCCTTACCATACAATGACATTTTTATGCCTTAATATACTATGACGTTTTTACGCCTTACTATACTATGACATTTTTATGACTTTTTACGCCTTACTATACTATGACTTTTTATGTCTTACTATAGGCACAGATTGGAGGGTCATAATTCAGCTTTATTTACACACAGTGAGGACTCCACTGTAGCAGCAGATCCTAACAGACTGTATCTGAGTATCTGAAGTTATTTCACAGAGTAAATAGGTTCGATCCCTGTATCAGCCCTGGAACATGTCTCTGGTCTGACCTTTGACCCCTTAGTAAATAAACAGTAGAAACTAGTATATATATTAATAAATGATTTCTGGAGAGGCATATGTACCTGTGTTCCCTATTGCTACTTTGCATGGACAGTAGTGTACATATATTATTATTTTTCTCTCAGGAGCTGGAGCGTCTGGAGGTGGAGCGGGTGGAGATGATCAGACAGCACCTGTGTCAGTACACCACGCTGCGGCACGAGACCGACATGTTCAACCAAAGTGTGAGTACGACTTCAGCTCAGTGCAGCGTCCAACAGCTGCCTAATCATACAGTGTGTTTATCAGATGGTTCAGTATGATAATAACCTGCTGGAGGTTTTAGTTTAATGTTGAGATGAAATTATGTGTAATAATAGAGGTTCAAACCTCTCCCATATTGATCAATATTTTATTTATACTGCAACTATAAAAAGGTTTGTTGCTAAAGAATAAGGTTAGATGTAAAATTTAAGGTTCCCCATCTTCTCCAGCAGAGGGAAGTAAAGCGTTAGTTTACAACAGGTGAAGACATGATCATCATCATCATCATCATCATATGTCTGAACAGAAGCAGAGAAAATGTGTGTGTTAATGTTGTTCCTTGTGTGTCCAGACGATGGAGCCGGTGGACCAGCTGCTGCAGTGTGTGGACCCCGTCAGAGACAGGGAGCTGTGGGTGAGGGAGAATAAGACTGGAGACGTTCGGCCAGTGGACATAGAGATCTGATCTCAGAGCACACGACCACGTTTACCCCAGAGACACACTGACCTGGAGCTACATGCCTGAGACTGACTGTGCTGGGATCCTGCCCCCACCTACCCCCCCCTTCCCCCACCAGACTGTGGGATGAGCCTCCACCTGCTGAGGGTGATGATGTCAAAGAGTGATGGGTCATAGTTTTCTTTTACACAAGCTGATGCTTGACTGTGAGAGTGACGACACTCGGATAAAGAAGCGGCAACAAAGAACATGTAACATGTAAATGTTTCTGTAACGCAGCTGCTGCTGTTTGTGCTTCTGCTCTGTGACTCTCTGATTCAGTGATTTAACAGATGCTGCTGAGCTACATGAGTGTTTTATGACTGTGTGTCGGGACAAGGCTAAAGTATTTTAATATAATTATCAACCATGTGCATGTATTTACCGTTTGCTAAGCACCGCCCCCCTCTGGCTTTCTGTTGCCACGCCTGTCAAGCTTCCTGTCACAGTCGGGTCCAGAAGTCTGAGACCAGTATCCCAGTCACGTGGACAGGCTTTTGGACCCGACTGTATACAGTTTACAAAAAAATATAAAATAATAAAATGGATCTTCAGTATCACACAGAAGTAAACAAAAGTAAGTTTCTCATTTCTAGTCAACAACTGTGGAGTTTGTCGGTTGATTTTACTGGCTGTAGTTAGCTTGCGTTAAGATGATGCTAATGCTAAAAGTCCAGCTGCAGTTGATTTCTTAAAGTTTACAACGTGTTTTAAAACAAGAGCCTGCAAAAGGATCTAAAATATGCAGACTAACACTGAGAATACAGGTGACACACCTTAAAGTCAGCATTCTCACGGGATGATGATCCATGTGAAGGACGTGGAATTAAAGACGCAGCATCATTTGTGTGTTGGGAGCTCTGGTGTTATATGGTGTTATAATTAATATAACTGTTACATGGTTTGAACACATTGAAAAATTTACTGGAAACAGGATTGTTGTTGTTGTAATACTCATTTTGGCCACAAGAGGCTGAAGTGCACGACTACCCCAGTCTAAATCGGACTAAAAGCATTCACTCTAGGTGATTTTTAATTTCTACATGCATTCTAATCATAAGGTTCATGTAATGTGCATTAGCAAGTTATGTAACATTACTGTTTCTACTTTTGACAGAAATGTATGTTAATCAGCAAAGGTTTTCTGCCAGAAATGCTTCAGGAAGTCAGTTGAGATAATATAAAATACACAAAAGAGCGACAAAGTCCACACAAGTAATAATCTGTGATGAAAGAATGGGTCACATGTAGGACTTTCACCTGAGAGACTGGGGTACAAAAACAACTTCCCCCATGTAGAGGAGCTGCACACTCATGTGCACTCTGAATGACGGGCACATAGAGAGGTCCGGTGAAGTTTCTGGAGCATAAACTCAAACCAAATAAGGAGCAGGAAGGAGCTGCTAGCGCTAAACTCTGAAATGTCTGTGATTCCATATAATAGTGAGCTAATGACAGGCGCCTTACTATTGGAATTAATGCTTGGGCAGTAAGCTTGTTGGCTGGCATGCTAATGTTTGTAGCTTAGATTAATCCAGAGAAGCACATCGTTTATTACATTCATTACAATTTTGCTTTTGTGTTTTTGCTTTTGGAAAAGTTTTTTTTTTTTTTAAAAACACCAACCTCCAAACTATTTAGTTGAAGCTTGATGGGCCAGCTAGCATCACAAATCTGGCTACTGTTAGCATCTCTGAAAGAAAAACATGTTTATTTTACTTCATTCCTAATGAGAATTAAAAATCAGCCAATTGCACTTTATTCCCAAATGATTTTTATTAAATTTACTGTAAGTCACTGTTCATATGAAAGAGAACTTAATCATTTTATTACTAATGGAAGTGACAGTGTTTTATGTTCAGGGTGGCCTGGTGTAAATAAGTGAGATGTGTGATTTGCTATGAAAAGGAGGCAGTGAAGTGAAGTGTAAAATACATAAATACATATAATATACAGACGTTTGGTACTGATAATATATGAAATCTAAGTGTTTTATATGAGAGAGAATTGAGAGGTCTCCTGTGATATTTGCTTCAGTTGGTTGAGAGCTGCTGCAGAAGCTCCATGTACAAACAGCTCTTTACTACCAGGTCTTATCCAGTGTTACTGCTTAGTCTGACTTGACCACGGAGAGACGAGGACTGAGATGTTTTTGTACATTAACAGCTAAAGGTTGGAATTTTTCATTAATAAAAATGAAAATATGTATCATATGTAATAACATGAGCTTTGTGTTTTGTTTTTGTTTTCTGTGTGAATGATCACGCTGAACAAAATCTGAATAATAAATGAAAAAAGAATTTTATTTCCTAAAAACCACATTTTCACATTCAACAGTAAAATGTTTGTTACAGGTTTAAACAGTGAGAATATCGATGTGGTTAAAGGTTCAGAGATACACTTTATCAGAGAGTTAAAATACACTGAGATTCTTATTATTGACCTAAAGTAACCCACGTGATGATGGCACCTTGTTGAATATATTACATGGCTACACTTTATAATAATGACTGGTTGTAAGTCGTGTATAAACCATTAGTTAATGATGAACTCATCTACAAATCTTCTGTATATTACTTATTTTATGTAACCTATAGACGCACCACATTACACACTGCACAGCTGCCTCTCGCAAATGTGATCAAACATTACAAAGGTCACCAGTTTGACTTTAAACAAGTATAATATAAAGTATTTAACATGTAGAAATGTAGATTATAGCTTTTAATGTTCTTCACAATGTCACTGTTAAGAATCAGCCAAAGCTAAAGTGCTAACCTGTTAGCCTAGCCTTGTTGCTTTCTGTCACTACAGAACCTGAGGGTGCTGTCAGATGTTTAACCCTCAGACGTCCTCTCTGGTGACACAGGTTGGACACTTGGACTGAAGAATGAAATGATCAGAATTTAGAGGTCAAAGGTCACCGTGACCATGACCTCACAAAACATGTTTTTGGCCATAACTCCTGAATTCATACACTATTTATGACTTAATTTAACAGAAATGTCTAATAGGATAAAATTATGAAGTGACAACCTTTTATATCCAAAAGGTCAAAGGTCAACTTCACTGTGACATCATAATGTCCTGTCCATATTTACTGTAACTGAGCTCATTTCCACCTTTTCTAGTTCAATGCTACATGTTTACTGACCTCATTGTTCATTGAACCAGCATTTAGAAAATGTTATTAAAATTACAGAAAACACTGAGCATTAACTCTCCCATAGTAGTTACTAAAAACTGTTAGCTTCCTAGCTAGTGGACAGCTGAGGGCCTTATCTATTAGCTAGCTAACTGCAGTTTTAGCTTCTCTACATTGTTAATCTATTCTAAATAAACTCTAACTGAATTGTTGTCTGGCTTTATTATTTCAAAAACATATTTATAAGTGGAAAATATTTTACACTTTAGATTAAAAGCTTCAGGAATCTGTCATGGCCGACAATAGTTACTATTATTATTATTTTGTGTCATTTTCAAATGTAAATGAAGGATTTGTTGATGATGTTCGTGATTCACATGATGGATTATACATGACTTCTAACTCTGTGGTGACGTGTAGAGTGAAGCAGTTTTCCATGTTCAATCTGTTTTGAGATACAAATATGACAAAGTGGATATAGACGTGTTATTAAAGCTGTGATGTTACAGACACAGAGGAAGGAGTTTTTGTTGCTTTACGACCTGAAATTGTTGTGAAACTGTCGTTTCATCCTCCCTGATGTTTCAGCCTGTTTCAACTCTTCAGGCGCAGGATGACGTAGAAACTAGAAACAGTCAGACTCGACCGCGGTGACGTCACATCTCTAATCGTCTAATCGATCATCAGCTTCTTCAGCGAGTTGAGATAGGCCGGGATGAGCGAGCTGACCGACTCGTTGTCGTCGTTGAGGATCTTCTCTCCTCTGCCCTCTGAGCCCGCGGAGCTGGGTGACCGGACCAGGCCCGGGTACGGCGTGCTGTAACCCTGGAGAAGCACAGACACGACTCCGTCATTATTCAGACCAACCACAGAGAGAAAAATACCTCTGGTTATAAAATCAGGATTTTAGGAAGTTAACATGAGTTCTGACAGTGTGCAGTTACTCACAGAGGAGTATCCTTTGCCGAAGCTGCCTCTGTTCTTGGTCCTGATCTTGGTGAGCGCTGACTCAGCGATGTCCGCCCGCTCCTCTGCATCATCCAGCTCATGGACCGTCTTCCTGTACTTGGCCAGGTTCATGTTGGCTTGTTCCTCCTGCAACAACAACAGTGTGAGATTAAAGAGATGCAGTCTGTACTCTGGGTGACATGTTTTGAGGCGAGGAGGACGGGGTGACGTACGGCCTCCTCCACTTGTCTCTTGTAGGCCCTCATCTTGTTCTGCAGCCTCTCCACCAGCTCCTGCATCCTCTGCTGGTTCTTCTGGTCCTCCTCCGACTGGAACAGCAGCTCCTTCAGCCGACGCTCGTTCTTCCTCAGAGTCTTCACCGTCTCAGCGTGACGCTTCTGCTCCGAGTCCAGCTCCAGCTCCAGCTCCTTCACCTGCGCAGACACACACACACTCATTTCAAATATCGATGACAGAACATCGTGTTCACAGACGACAGGTCAGACACGTTTCCGTACCTTTCCCTCCAGCTTCTGGATGATCTTCTTCCCTCCCTTCAGAGCCATCTGCTCGGCCTCGTCCAGCCTCCCGCTCATGTCCTTGATCTGAGCCTCCAGACCTTTCTTCACCCTCTCCAGGTGCAGCGTGTGCTCCTGCTCCAGACGCAGCTCCTCCCCCACTCGGGCCAACTGACACCGTTTAAAAAGATATATTAAAAGCATGTGTGAAACTCGCCTGCTGTGATCTCCGATCGGTCCTGTGTGTGTTTACCTCACAGCTGGCCTTCTTGGCCTTGTCTGTGAATCCTCTCAGCTCTCCCTGCAGCTCCTCGTGCTCCTGCTGCAGAGTCTGGAGATCCACCTCCAGCTTCCTCCTCCCGCTCAGAGCCGACTGGAACTGCACACGGGAGGAAACAGGAACAGCGTGATGAGATCAGATTAAACTCTCGGCGTCTGCCGGCGCTCCAGAGCGAAGACGCTGCGCCTCACCTGGTTGTTGAGGTCGCCGTATTTCTCGTTGGCGTCCTGCAGCTCCGCCTCCAGGGTCTTGCGGACCCTCTCCGTGCTCTCCAGGGCCGCACGAGTCTCCTCCCCCTCGCTGACCAACAGGCCGCAGCGTCGCTCCACGGCCGCCTGCTCCTCCCTGCACTCCTCATGGCTCCGCACCTCCTCCTCCAGCTGAGCCTGCAGCTCCTGGGACAAGGGGAGGACACTCGCTCTGTGAGTCTCAGACCGTTACAAACCACAGGCGAAGGAGAAAGTCACACGGCCGTCGCACCTTGATCTGCTGCTGCATCTTCTTGCCGCTCTTGCCGAGCTCGGCGTTGCTCTTGGTGAGCAGATCCACCTGCAGCTCCAGCTCGTTGATGTCGGCCTCCAGCTTCTTCTTCAGCTTCAGTCCCTCCGCTCTGCCTTTCACCTCCACGTCCAGACTGGCCTGCAGGGACTCCAACGCCCTCTGGTGGCTTTTCCTGACAGAGGAGGGAGGGATTAACGGACGGAGAGAGGAGGTAATAAACACATGTGCATGTGTCGCTGCAGAGACAGCGAAGCAGTTTAAAGTGGGAACAGTTTAATGAAGCAGGTCTTACCTCCACAGACAATGTAATGACTTTGTAGAGGGAGTAAAGGGAGATAGAGGACAGGATGAAGAATAATTAGAGTACGACAGAGTGTCAGCGCTGTGGATGGAGTGACTGTCAGAGAGGAGAAGAGGTACCTCGCAGCTTCAGTCTCCTCCTCCTTCTCCTGCAGCCGTCGCTCCACGTCTCCTTTAGCCTGAGACAACTCCAGCTGCAGCCTCAGCACCTTGGTCTCCTCCACCTGGAGAAACAGAGATGATGCAGCATCTGAATAACTCGTCCTCGCCGAGACGGAGAGACGGAGAAAGTGTTCTCCTGCAACTGCAATATTTCTTTCCACTGTTACACTGATAAGACACAGACACAATTGTCCATAAATGCATCATAGTTCTGTGCTGCAGACTGAGGCCCAGTCCCCTCCTGGGATGGGACGCCACGCTGCGACGCATGAAAAGGAACAGCTGACGGTCAGTGTGAAGCCGTGTACCTCCAGAGCCGCCTCAGATTCCTCCAGTGACGCCTGCAGCTCCTCCTTCTCCATCTCAATCTTCTTCTTCGCCTTCTGAAGCTCGTGGACGCTCTTCCCTCCGTCTGACAGCTGATCTGTGAGGTCGGCTACTTCCTCTGTCACACGGAGAACAGACACCATAGTTACCGTTAGCCAATTAGCCATTAATTAGCCCCTTCCACCACCGCGTGTCCTATCGTACCCTGGTAAGCCTTGTTCTCCCTGCGCAGAGCCTCCAGCTGCTCCAGAGACTCCTCGTGTGCCGTCTTGAGTTTGAAGAGCTCGCTGGCGTGTTGCCTGCTCTCCTTCTGGCAGCCCTCCACCTCGGCCACCAGCTCCTCACACTTCTGCTTCCAGTCTCCGAGCTGCTTCTCCAGGATCCGCTGCTTCTTATCCAGAGCCTGACCGCAGCCGCTGGCCTGGGACACGGAGCGGGAAAATGTTCAGGGATGACGACAAAGACGTTGGTGCCACTGTAACACTCACACGGTGCGTTCTCCTGCTCTACCTTCTCCAGGTCCATGCACAGCTCCTCCACCTCCCCCTGCAGCCTCTGTTTGGTTTTCTCTAGTGAGGAACATTTGGCCTGGGTGGCCTCCACCGCCTCCTCGGCCTCCTGCAGCCTGGTCGCCAGCTTCTTCCTGTCTCACACACACACACACACACACACACACACACACACACACACACACACACACACACACACTATTAAAACACTGAGACACATTCAGAGTCGAGATGACCAACGGGAGCCGGCGTCAGCACCACGCACTTGGTTTCCTCCAGCTCGTCGGCGTGCTGGATGCCGTCAGACTCGTGTTTGGTCTTCCAGTGCGTCACCTCGCTGTTGAGCTTGGAGACGAGGCGCTGCAGCTCCTGCTTGCTCTCCTGCTCCTCCTCAAGCTGCTCCTTCAGAACCTCGCACTCCTGCCGCACTGAGCCCAGGCTGCTGCTGACCGCCTGTTTACACTGGCGACAGAAACACGACTCTTGAGTGGAAAAACTCAGAATTACACACATTCACATTCATCACTGATGTTTCCAACGCCGAGCTGGAACACGGACCTTGACCTCCTCGTCCAGCTGCTTCTTCAGATCCTCCAGTTGGGTTTGGAGCAGAGTTTTGGAGCGCGTCAGCTGACTGGCTCTGGTCTCCGCCTCCTCCATCTGTCGACTCACGTCTGCGTTATCAGCTGACACAGGAACACAGAAGCGTTTACAGTTTAACTCCTCAGAGGCAAACTAGGCAAATACCAGGGGCCCCCCAAGGGGAAAAGGGGGGCCTCCGCTGGCCCCTCATATTGGCACATTTTTCAATGACTATAAACTCTGTTAAACCTCCCGTGAAGACATTATACAGTGCACTGCTGCAATGTGTGCTGTAGCTAGTGTCAGCCCATTGCCTGCATCTGAGGCGTTTAGGGGACATCTGTAAATTGTAGCATCTCCTGACAGTCCGCATGTGTGTGGTTAAAACAGCATTACCGTGTCAAGCACTTTTCAGTATTTAGGTCCCGCCCACTTCAAACCAGGAAGAAGAGCACAAAGAACAGAGCGCTGACATAAACCTCTCATGTGAAATAAACCAAACAGTTCTGACTGTGACAGTAGATGCATCATGTACCTCCTCCCACTGAGCTCCCTGATCTCTTGAGTTCAGGTCGGGTCTGAGGTCGGCGTACCTGTGAGTCTGTTCTTGGCCAGGCTGAGGTCAGTGAGCGTCCTCTGCAGGTCGTCTCCTCTCCTGTTGGCCTCCGACAGCTGCTCCTCCAGCTTCTTCATCTGACCGTCTGAGGACATCTGCAGCGCGACACAAAACACGTCACACGTCACACGGGCCGGTTAGAAAATGAAAACCTTTGTGGCGGTGACAGCGGATCCAGATCCTGACCTTCACTTTCTGCAGACTGTCCAGCGACGCCGCCAGCTCGTCCACCTCCATCCTCAGGTTCTGCTTCTCCTTCTCCAGCTTGGCTCTGGCCCGCTGCAGAGCCTCGCACTGCTCGCTCAGCTCCGCCGTGGCGTCGTTGTGCCGCTTCCTCAGAGACGCGGCCAGGGCGTCGGACTGGACCGTGGACTCCTCCAGGTCCCTCCTCAGACGCTGCAGCTCGGCCTCTCGCTTCTTGTTCACCTCCATCTGTTGATCGCACACAGACTGAGTGTAGAGCTCGACTGGCGGCACAGTGTGACAGTGAATCTATGCTTCAGTTCAGTCCTGAATGTTCGGTCGTCATCGCCAACATTTTTAAGTGGCTGTCAGTTCACCTGTGAGGCGGTGACTCCTCCTGCTTCCTCCAGGCGGTCGGTGAGATCGTCCAGCTCTCTGGTCAGATCCGCTCTCTGCTTCTCCACCTGACGAACACAGAGAGACAGGAAGGTTTATTTCAGCCTCATCAACCATGTTGTTTTCTGTCAATACATTAAACATCAGACTGAAGAGCTTCATCTGCTCTGACTCTGCAGGACAGGATATGTAACCACCCAGGGATCAGTATGACTGGCAGCCCACAATAGGAAGTGGAATCTCTCCTGAGGTCAGAGGTCAGGAGAGTGGCTGGTATCCAATCAGAGCAGTGCAGAGTTCAGCTGCTGTCACAGTCCAAATATTAGCTGAGCTGCTGTTTCCTGTGGACGTTACCTCAAGCTTTCTTCAACATGATACACACATATCTCATGAACTTAATACTTTATATTTTAAAAAACAATCATAAAATAACCCACACTGGCTCCAGCAGGATAATAAAACTTATAAACATAAAACACATTTATACATAAACCGTATAATAAAACATCAGATGAAATATAAAATACAGTTTTAGACGTGCAAAACAAATAAAATATCTAAAGCTGCAGGAACGTTGAGAGTCTGTGACTGGGACCTGGTGCAGCACACATGGAGAGAGGTTTTACTGCGGGGGCCGTTACAACCACAAACACTGCAGTTGTTTTTCCCCTGATCTTTTACAGCTGATGTAAAGACAGACGAAGCTGTTGGGACTGTTCTGTAAAAGCTGCAGCCTCAGTCTTCCCTGACGGCACCGATGAGCCGCAGCCGTCGACCCACCTCAGGCACAACAAGGGAAAACAGATGACACCCCCCACCCCCACCCTCACCCCCACCCTCACCGTCTACAACCTGGCTCTGAGCACTCGCTTCACTCATCGCTCTCCTCCACGCCGTGCACTGAGTCAACAGCTCCTCCGGATCAGCACCACCCGACACCACTCACTCCCATTCACGTGCTGATGGGAGGTCAGCGCTCCTCACGTCTCTGCTGCTGCAGGGGGAGGGAGATTTATCTCCGTTCGTACAAGAGTGTGAAAAGAGTGGGAGTGTGTCTCTGCTCAGTCCGGGAATTAACACCGACGTACGTCTGCATCACCTCAGTCTCCAGAGTGACCCGGGTTCTCCTCCGATCACAGCTACACAAAACCAGAAATCTAATCTGTGTCAACACCCTGTTTCTGTGAAGACGCATGTACGGCAAGTCCATTACAGCTGTCCATTAATCTATATGTGCACAACCAGTGTAAGTGAAGTGCAGAGGTTCAAAGTGCTGAAAGGTGCTGCACCACTAAACATCTTTGTGAGGTGATGTTCTGTACGGTGCCGTCAGGTAGACTGTGAGAGAAGACAATAGTTCTTCTAATAACTAAGAATAAAAACTGCGGTTTCCATAACAACCCTGATATACCAGCTACTGTAACCCTACTTGTTATTATCATTTAATATCTCGATGGAGGATGGAGTTGATGAGTTCTGAGCCTTTCACATTACACAGTTATTTGACCCGTTGCTCATACATATGAATATTAATAAGTGCTTTTCTTTGGTGTGAGTTTCAGCTGAACCTGATTTAATCTCGTTTCCCTCCTCACAAGAAGGAAGATTCAAAACACGCTGATGTCTGTGTTTGTCTAACAGAGCACAAACCAGAACTCTCCACTGTTCAAACACAGGAGTGTGAACCGGGCTGCAGGAGGATCCCGTGGACAACAGCGCTGTCTGTCGGCCCCTGTATCTCCCGGTGATCTCTCCCCCTGTGCGACCTGAGGAGCCGAGCCTGACAATAGAGAGCCTGTGTGCAGCCGAGGTATGTTCGACTGCAGCTCCACTGAGGAGCAGATAAAGATAAAGCGTGTCTCTGCCTGCCTCTTGGCTTCGGAGGCCGGTGGGGTGGGGGTGTGGGGGTGTCGGGGGGGGTGGGGGACCTGGCGAGCACCATTAAGAATACCACCCAGAGAGGGGAGTGCAACACGCCCTCAGGCTCGCTGTCACTCCATTCAACACTCGGGGTGAAATATGCACCTTTTTTGCATTTCTGCCCTCACGACTGTAACACGGGAACTGAAGCCGCATCTTAGCAGGGTTCTCTGCCTTAAACAAACACACACACACACACACACACACACACACACACGCTTTAAGAGCGTCTCCGCTGAAACAACAAGCACTTAAAGCGCCCACCTTGGCAGATTAGCTTCATACGAACCAGGCGCGCTTGTTGTGAAACCCGGTTACACCGCATGAGACGAATTGGAAACAATGATTTCGAAACAATGATTTCGCTTCTAGGGAGCGAGATGAAGGGATTACAAGAAACAGAAGGTGCTCTGATGTTTGTGTGTGAGCGTGACGGAAAAAGAGAGAGAGAGAGAGAGAGAGAGAGAGAGAGAGAGAGAGAGAGAGAGAGAGGGAAAAATAAGAAATAAGACGGAGGAAGGAGGATGTTGGGGTCCCTCTCCGCCTCTGGGGTTGCCCTGTGTGTTAATCAGAAACACAAGGCCTCTCTCCCACCAAGTTTATTATCACAGGTGCTGATAGTTTGGGGGTGACCAGAGGCGCAGCACCGACACATGTACCTCACCGGCTGCCAACGCATCAGAAGATCTTTTTTCCCTTCAATCCTCAAACTGCTCCTGAACGTTGAAGCTGATCCCAGAGCTGCTTGGCATCCTCTTACCTGCCCCACAGCCAGATTTAAAGGCTCATCTGCTCTTTGTTTCACTCTGGGAGGGAGGAGGGGGGGGGGTTTACACAGCACCTTATAGTTGTGTAGATGTACCATACCTTGGCTCTCATGGCCCGCTCTGCCTCCAGCTCCTCCTCCAGCTCCTCGATGCGAGCCTGAAGAGAGAGAGAGAGAGAGAGAGAGAGAGAGAGAGGGAGAAAATAAAACAGTCTGCTTTCACTGAAATATGGAACATGAGCAGGATATCTGAAGCTGAGCTGCTCTGGTTTCACATCACCCCGACAGGGAACAAATGGGGCGTCACCTCCGCACATTGTTTGCTATTTCAGGGCGACACTTGTGTGTGGTGAGGCCTCTGCTCGCTCCGGGGATTTGGCTTTTTCCTCAGGTAGCAATTTAGAGCAAGAATGTCTGTGGCCACCATCATTATCTGTATTCTGACCCAGGGCTGGGTCTGCTATGTCCGGTCAGCACCACCAGAGACACACGCAGCCGTTTTCATGACATTCGAGGAATCTGTGTTATGTTTTTGCTTCCTCTTGGTTTCACAGTGCTGGGTTATATATTCTGTCACCTATACAGACTGTGTGTTTGTGCTTTTATTTTGGCGAGAACACACCGTTAAATTTCACTCCAAGTGAGGTCATTTCCTGCTTGAATAAAGTTATAGAAAATACATATTCAACATCAAAAAGTCGACACAATATTGTAGTGACACAAAACTTTATACGTGCAAATCATTCAATTTGAGAACTGTTTATAAATGTGTTTAAAACGATTCTGTATTTTAACAACTATGTACAACTGTGTTCTGATGTATTCATGTGGTATTAAACACTTACTCACATCTCAGTGAAGGTTTAGTACAAGCTGTTGACAAATAAACTCTCAATAAATGTCTTTTTATTTGCTTTGCAGCCTGTAATAAAGCATTAATTAATATTTACATGACTTATAACGCTTGATGAGAAATTAATGATTTTGTGACGTGTAGATCTAATAAATCTGTTGCTGCTGCTCGTAACGAAATAACAAAAACTAAATGAAAAATCTTTTTCGTGAACTGAAATAAAAATAAAAACGAGGCTTTATAAAAAATAACTATAAGTAGCTGAAACTGTATTGTGTGTTTATAAAACTAAAATAAACTTAAATTATAGTGAAAATGTCTCAGTTTATTTCATACAGCGGCCTGGTATTCTGGGAGGATATGAAATGTAGTGCGTGTCAGACGGAGCAGTATCTCACAGCTGATTGGCTCTCAGTGTTCATGTTGGAGTTATGACACATCCCACGTATTACATTTAAAAAAACACTGAAATGAATAAAAACTAAAGGAGAGCAAACCTGCTTTAAAAACTAATTAAAACTAAACTGAAACCGAAAAAGTCAAAATGAAATAAAACTAAAAACTAATGAAAAATCCAAAACTATTATAACCATGGTAACCACAGACACTTACTCCAATACTTCACTTTAATATAAATTTCAAATTAATGGTTCCACACAAACTACAACAGTAAAAATGCTACTCACATATTATTGTATTAGTAATAGTGATGTAATCATATAATAAATAACAGTATCACACTCTGTGGAGTCATATTTACCTATTCAGTAACATTTTAAATACAGGTCTTTTACTTTTATTTTATTTCTCTGCCTCGACATGTAAAACATTTAGAAACGACCCGACACAAATAAATAAATCCCCAGCAGAAACATCGCTGCTCCACTAATCCTCTGCCAAAGCCGCTAGTAAAAAATTTATTGCTGGTTTCCCGACATTGCCGCATCCTTCCAAGTCGTGTCATGTTCTGTTGACTATCTGCAGCTTCTATCTACGTCTCAGTGTCAGGGAGCGTGTCTGACACGGCGTGTGGCCCCGGGGCCGCTCGCAGCAACAACACCTCCGCACGCTGATGTGGTGAAAGCCGCTCGCCAACCCACACACACAAAACAAAAAGCTCCCGGACATGAAACTATCAGGCAAAATAAACACATGGAGGAATCATCCTGCACTTGTGCCATGTTAGATTCATTATAATGCAAAGACAGTTCAGCTCCGTGCTTCAGAAGGTGGAATCACACACGACACAGGCTCTTAAAAGTTGCTTAAACAGACAAAGTGAAATAAAAACTCACATGCCAGCGCAGGACGTCCGCAGAGAGAACAGCCATGGTGAGGCAGCAGCAGCCCAACTGACTGACTGACTGTCCCACACACACACACACACACACATTCAAACATACACACACTCAAACACACACACACACACACACTGCTGTTGATCCCCTGCGGCATTTTACTGTCCACACCCCCTCGTGCATGCACAGCCTCTTTCTGTCTCAGAGTTCCCCACTCACATATCTGTTTCTTGTTAAATTCCTACTTTCCACGGCCTCAAAATAAATACTGCGGCTCTAATACAATAGTAGAAAACACAGTGTACTGACAGTGTGGGGACGTCCGAGCCAAGACTGCACGGATACACGCAATTTGGCCCGTTTGTGTGCGGCAGAGAGTTTAAACACTGATTTTGTGAAACTTTTCTGAATGAAATTATCCCACGTCAACGTTTGTACTCGGAGACGTGAGCCCAGTGAGCGCCGCTGAGGACGGCTGCAGAGTTTAACCTCCGTAAATTGTTTGTGATAATTGTTTGTGCTTGAAGTTTCCTTTTTTTTTCTTTTCCACTGCGCTCTGAAACTATAATAATTGTCTATAAATTAGATTCAGATGTGGCCTCACGGGTGATGTCTCCTCCTGAGCTTGTGTCTGAGGGGATGTTCAGGAGGCGTGGGCAGTTACATCCTGTCAGGATCCCCCCCCCCCACCCACATCAGTCAGAGGGGAAAACAAGATCGGAAGCCGTGCCTCTGCACCACCTGCTGAAGAGTCCCCCATACTGTCCACACATGCTCGCACAACTCAGGGCCCTTAAACGCCTTCAGATGGCAGTGTGCAGCTTCCAGCAGCAGAGTCACGGTTGTTTGATTGGCCAGGTGACGACACAGGTGACGTCACCGGTATCAGAGACGCCGCGCAGGTGTCTCTATTTACCGTGAGTCTGCAGCTGAGTCAAATGTAAAATAGAGACGTCATTATCCTCTGATTGTGTTACTGAGGTTAAAACAATGAAGCAGTTTCACATCAGCTACAGGAAACGCATCATTAAGATACACTCCCTGATTTTCTGACAATACTCCATACTGTTTTCAAATCCCCAAACTTCCCTCTCAGCTTTCTGCTGTTTGCAAACTCAGCTGTCGACGGGGAGCCGGGAGGGAGGCCGGTGATCTGGGACTAGCTTAGCTGGATTCGTTATATATCTTCCCCTCTACACAGGATAGTGCAGAATAGCTTTGTACGTTCCTTATATGATCACAACCGGAAGTGTCTTTCCTAGTGTCACTGTGCAGTCTGCATGGACATTGTATAACCCAAGTTCTGCATTTGACCTCACACATCATTCAAAATGGCTCCTCTCATGTGAATAAGAGCAGCTGCTGACGGTCAGAGTCCAGCTCTGTGTGCAGCGTCTCCTGCTAGGAGCCCAGGTTGCCAGATGCGGTCAGCGAGTCCAGGTTTTAGTTCGGGTCTTTTTACCAAACCTGGCAACTTCACTGTGTTCACTGCGAGTCAGAGAAAATTACCTGCATGACTCGACACAGAGGTGAATGAAAAAATATGAAAAGCATCAGCTGAAGGTCGGACTGTTATCAGCTCTGTGACGAAACACCTGGTACAAACCAAACAGACCTCAGGGCGTGACTGAGCTCCATCTCCTCAGATTGTGACGACCCCCGAGTGTAACTGCTTAACGGCCGTGTAATAAAACCACTAAGGAACCAGCGCTGCAGGCCCGCGACCTCCGTGACTCCGCCTCCGAGCTAACTGTTTGAATTACAGCGCACTAAAGAGGGGGAGGAGACGTCATCATTAAACATGGACAAAGCTATCTCTGTCATTCTGCTGCAGTTTGTCGACATATTCATGTGACCTTTACGTCAAAACCAGACTGAGTGGGCCGTCCACTCAGCTGGCCGGCCACCTGCGTCTTTACACACACACACACACACACACACACACGCTGCATAATGGCCTCATTGTGACACAGGGAGAATGCCAAAGCTACAGTAAACGTGAAAACTCCAACCTCAAAGACGACACAGATCAGCTTTCACTCCACAAAGACGCTCGTTATTCTTTCTCCGACGAACCTCTGGAGGAAACATCAGGCTCCCAGAGGCAGAGCCACCTGAACTTTGAAACTATGTCTCTCTCTCTCTCTCTCTCTCTTTTCTGCTTTGTCCAAGGGACAGATACAGACAAAACACATTATCTGCAGCATGCTCCAGTGACACAGATAAAAGCTCTCAGACTTGCTTGATTCCATCAGGATGGCACAGAGAGATTCACATGAAAAGCCTCAGTATAAACTTCACTGACTTCTGTACAGAGGCAGACTAAACACCAGAGGAAGTAGAGCACTGAAACCAACACAGTTCAAACAAAAACAGGGATCCTGATCACAATTATACGATGATTGTGTGCTGAGTGGAGCTGAGGCAGATGGGAATGTTGTCGGTTTTGCGGGTATTTGGTCGAGGACGCATGTCGAGCGTCTGAACCAAAATGTGACCCGCAGGCGGTGGTGGATGGGGACCATGAATGTCTAAGAATAATACATTCAATCATGTTGAGATATTTCTGTCTCACCCAAAGTTTTCATCCACTGGTGCCACAAGAGGAAAAGTCAGGTGATCACGCTGTAGATCATAGTTACCAGGGTTCATCCTCTGGGGATAAATGTCACAAACCTCTATGGCCGTCTTTTCCACAGCTCATTAACTTGACACCAGTCAGCTGATGGAGGGGTGGGCGATCATGTCCCAATCTTTTTAGGTAAAATCACGATTGAGTTGAACTTGTGATCACATGACTAGTTCAGCATATGGTTGCCTGGACGCAAATCCTGTCACTTCGACTCAAAGGCCAAAATCACATGTCATGTTTTTCGCTCTGATTTTATAAGTCCTGACTGGAAGTTGGTGATTCGTATCTTTCCGCCGCTGGTCTTCACCCACAATGCTGCGTTTCGTTTATGGATTGTGTCACAACCAATCACACTTATGCTTAAGTTCATATGGAGCATTCCTTTGGACAGCGCCGGTATCTTCCCGTCTTCCTGCCTGCAGACTGCTGACGGCGGTTCTGACTGCTGTCTCCAGCTGCAGTTAGCGGGCTGGCTGTTTCTGTTTCATCGTTAACATGGTCTGGTTAGCAGAGACTGAAATTAAATATCTAAATATAGAAACTTTTAATGACGCGGCCTGAACATTTAATCTGAAAATGTCCTCATGATGGAAACTTGCATGTTAGAAATCAGAGTCTCAAAAAGGAGGGAATTGTTTCTTCCTTGAACTACCCCCAGCTGCAGCTAGTGACACCCTCAGAGGGAGGTAGGAGATGGTTATCAGTTTAGATGTAGGCGGTGTGTTTTAACCTTCTCCTGACATGCCTGGAGCTGTGAAATGACTCGGCCAATCACAGAGCAGAGCCCAGAAGCTCTGTTGAAAGGCAGGAATGCATCTCTAAGCTACAGCTGAGCTCCCTGCGTGTGCTTTTAGGAAACTGATCTCAAGTCATTCGGTTGTCATTCCAACCAAATGTCATCCAGTTGTTAATGATTCGTTCCTCTTTTCTGGTTAAAGGTGTTTTAAAGGAAAACTCAACCTTTAAAAAGTCTTGCATTGTCACTGTGCGCGCAACATCTCCAGCACTTCCTGTTGATGTTCCATGGAGCGGTTATGTTCAGTGTATCCTGAGGATGCCTCGATCAGTGCTCCTGTGCTCTTTACCATTAGTCTTGAAATCCAAGGTGCTCGAACTGGAGGACACAAACGCAACTCTGCAGCTCTTTGAAAACTTTCACATCTTGTCAAATTAGAGGCTGCAGACAGAAGGCACATACCAGTCCTGCCGTCTGGGAGATGACTATAAACCGAAAGAGGGAAACACATGCATTCATATGTTCTAGATGCAAGACATTCTGGTTTTGTAATGAGGGAATTATAGAGATTGAGCCCAATTCACACAGAAAAGCCTCATTTCATAGCGTCTGAATTGAAACATTTGCACCAACTAAAGCCACAAAACATTACAGAATATCACCCCACTGTGCAGCTCCAACAGGTGACCTGCTGAGGTCAGTCAGCAATTAGCATTAATTAGCATAAACCTCACCTTCTCAGAATCTTTCATCACTGCCTCCTGAATGAGCGACAGTACAAAGCCTGTTTGCTGTTGCAGAGCCTCTGCCCTGCACCAAACACCATCACACACACACACACCATCACACACACACACACACACCACATGAACACATGAACACTGACCTGTTGCTCCTTGCTCTTCCTCTGCAGTCCAGTGTTGAGAGCCTCCTCTGCTTCTAGCTTGGAGCTGGTGCTGCTGATCTCCAGATCCTTCCTGCAGAGAGAGCGAGAGATTAAAACATGAATCAGAAGAAATCCGGTCAGTTCAAAAACGTTAACGTTATGAAGTAATACAAAAGCCGTTTCATTTAGCTCCATGTTTACTGTAATACCAACTGACAGGCTTCTGGAAGAGATGAAGAAAAACTCTCAAGGTTAACTTAGCAAACCGGAGCAAACTCATCCAAATACTACAAAGTGATCTTATCAAGCCGCCCTTGACTCAGCTTCTACCTTTCAGAGATCAGTTACGATACTGCAGCATTATACGCATGCGCAGGTGTGTGTGGAAGCTAAACTCGCTCACTAAGCGTTAAGAGGCATCTCTGTGTGAGAATAGATCAGGACGTAGGTCGTGTGTGTGTGAAGTTCGCTGTGAACGTGGCAGTGTAATGTTTGTGTAATGTTAAGACCCAAGTTCCCGCGTCAGTGATGGAAAGGTTATGAAATAAAAGGTAGATATTAGATTTTAGATATTTTTCATGCTGCACATTTTTAAATGTTTACTGAATAATCTCGATACTTGTTCAGCCAGGAAGGAGTGCAGAAAGGTGAAGATGTCCAGATGTTCCACCACTGTAATAATTCAGTATAGCTCATTTCGGACATGGAATGCACAACATTGGTGGCTTGATCAATCTGTTACAGTATTGGCTTATTGCCTTTCAGACGTAGGTATCCATCACTGTAATGTTCTGCCACAATGCCTGTGCAAGAAAAGAAAAACATTCATGTTCACTTCAGGCTCGTGACATTTGATGAGTGATGTGGAAATGTTACTGTTAAAATCGTGTTTATGATACTGACGCAATCGCATCAGTTGCTGTCATGAAGCAAGACACGCTTGATGCCAATAAAGCTTTATTGAGTATAAAGTTGAAGTGTTTGAACAACAGCACCGTAGCAACAACGAGAGTCACTCTCTTGTTGATGAGGGTCTCGATGCCAAAGAGAACAAGTTTTAACTTCATAAACCTTCACAACTGAGGTGATGTTGTTCCTCACTGTATTTATGTGCATGTGTGTGTCTCTGACAGTCGTTTGATTGTTGCTGCAGGGTAAAGAACAGAGTGATTCCAGGGCAGAGAGCAACATGTTGGGATTTCACTGAGCAGGGTGGTAAGGGGGTGGGGTGGGGGCGTGGGGTGGGGGTGGGGGGGTAGCTGGACTGAGGAGCAGGTATATTAGATACCACGGCCTCTCGGAGCCTGAGCTCTTCCGCCTTAGGACAGGAGCATCACATCAGATAGTCGGTGTGTTTTTGAAGTCCATCAGTGCGTCTCTCTCCTCGGGGTTAACAGATACGATCACAGCCGTGGATCAGACCTGTTGTCACATGCGTCCGGCTCTGAGTGTGGGCTGATGGAAATGTTTATGAGGTGGGTTTATATAGTATATATAAACATTTAGGTCAACTATGATGTCAGCTATAAACATAATGTATATTTGCCAAATATATTTATGTTTATGTTGGTGTGTCTTCGCTCACTGGAGGGTTTAGTTTAGTTTTACTTTTCATCTACCACTTCGTGACTGATTACAAGTTACAGAGAAAAGAACAACAACTCTGTGCAACTCGGTGTGTTCTCATTATTTTATAGGAACGAACATCAAAGGGAAAGAGGAGGAAAATAAAATAAGAGTCTGCAGCTCTGTGAGGCTGTACTTTACCACAGTGGAGCTGAGAAGTTTACCATTAGCACCATCTTAGTTTAGCATGTTAGCATACTAACATTTAGTAATTAGCAATAAACACTAAAGTAGGTAAACATAGGTATTCATATCAAATCATTAGACAAATGGAAATTTTGAGGTGATGAAAAGCTCCAAAGTCGTTACAGTTCAACCTGAAGGGATAATGAATTTCTTTATCAAATTTTAGGACAATCCATTGTTGATAGTTGTTGATATACTTCACTAAAACCCCAAAATATAAACCTCACATCGTCGTCTGGGAACCTGTTCAACTTTTAATGCCAGTACGCCGAGAGGACGTCGAGCTATTTCACCAAAATCACTATGTTTTATCCTCTGGGGACAATGAATGTCTAAAACATTTAACAGTTATACACCCGTAATACAAACTCCAAAATGTCAACATCATGGTGTCACCACAGGGAAGGTCAGAGGATCACCAAAGTCAGTGAGGTTCATCCTCTGGGACCATGAATGTCTGTACAAGATTTCATAGAATCCAAAATGGTGGACCAACATTGCCACACAGCTAACGGCTAAAAATAGATTAAAAAAAACCAGGATCATTTTGTGACGCAGCCTTGGGAGATTCCACACGTTGTAAACTCTATGACATCAGCAGTGAGCGCGTCTTTGACTGACCTTTTGAGGAGGTCTTCCAGACCACTCCTCATCTTCTCCATCTCCCCCAGACTCTCCTGAGTAGATCTGCTGTCACTCTCCAGCCTCCTCCTGCTCTTCTCCAGCTCGCCGCGCTGAAGGCGCTCCAGCTGGTACTCCAACTGAAGCGTCACAGGACGGAGAAAACATACGACTCATGGCGATAATGTAATGCAGCTGCAGAAAAGTGTAATTCAAAGTAGGGGTTCAACTGAAGACTAATGTTCTTTAACTGTAATTTCCAGAAGTTAAAATATTTTGTGTCAGTAATCAATATGTTTTATATCGACCGCTTATTATGCCTGACCATTTTCAAGCGTAAAATTACATGTGTTCAGTGTTTCCCCTGATTTGCCAAGGGCCTATTGGCTAACAGGGTTACAATTAAGTCAAATAAGCTTCAGTTTCCACTCCTCGTATTACTGTCAAACAGTCAGTTCATAACCCTAATGTTACTACAGTATTTAACATGTGCAGCATGTGTGTGTTTCTGTCAGACCAACATTCTGCTCTTAGGTCAGTGTAGTTCACCTCTGATACGATATGAGGAGGTTTAATTAGTTGGTAATTTAGTGGAAAATTTGTACAAAAACACAACAAGGACTTAATACATTTATATTAGATACAGTCCAGTTTTGCTTTATGGCTTTTAAATGTGCTAATCAACATTTTTGTATTAACAATGGATGGAATGAATCAGTCATAGTGATGCATGTATGAAGAATTATCTTATTCCGCTTTGTGGTTCCCCTCAGCGTCTTTCAGCTCATTGTGTTAAAAGGTCCCATATAAAAACATTTCATCAGTGTAAACACACCTTAAGTTAACAACACTGATATTTAGTATTTAGCATTAGGGTTCGTTTGTTTTCGTATTAGAGGCTCCGTGTTTGGTCTCCACCAGCTCCTGACGGAAACATCTGGCTCTTTAGCTGCTAAATGCTTCGCTACGTTCAGCAACGGGTCGCTAACGTTGTCTGTCTGTTTGTTTGGAGCCAAACAGGTTTTTTACAGTGGGTCTATTTGCTAAAAACAGCAGCGACCGTGGCTAAAAATATAGGTTTACAGAAGCAGAACAATACTGAACCACAGCAGGAAAGTTATGGGCCGTAAAACCACAGCAACGAGCTGGAAAATGCTAAATCACCCATATAGAGCCGAGGGGTCACTTTAACATGGTCATGTGATCCATTGTTAACATAAAAATAGTGATTAGTGCAGCTTTAAGTCAAGCCAAGTTACGTCAGCGTCAGATGGAATGATTGGTTTTAAAATGTGAAATTAAAAACATATAAAATAAACTGTGGACATATTGATAAATATAAATATACAGAATTGGTACTCACATCCTCAGCCTGCATCTGTAGCTTGGTTTTCTCCTTGGTCAGGAGGTTCACCTTCTCCTCCTCGCTCTGCAGGTCCTCGATGGCCTGCTGTCAGGACGAAACAAGATGTCTGAGCCTGGGCTGCACGTGTCCCTGAATCACTGAGCCTCCGTCTCACTGCCCAACATCCATCTGTCGGCCACATTGGCGGCTCGGAGAGATAGGAGTCGTTTGGTTGCAAAGAAAATGTCAGAAGTCGTCGCCTCCAGATTGATCTGACGGATCAGAGGTTTTTCTCTCCGGGGAACAAAAGCACTGGAACGCCACGCTCGGTGACTCACTGAAACAGCTGCAGGAGCCTCAGCGATGCCAGGAACCATCCGTGTTATGTTTTTACTCGCAGGTTTCTCTTTGTATTCCAGACTAAATCCATAATGTGAGACATGTTAAACAAACAGTAGGGAGATAATGAGGTTTGATGCCGAGCTGCTCCCACAGATTACACAGTGAAGCCGACTGCTACCGACGGTCGCGGCATCTGGGAGGGATTAGTGGACAGGGCCTCTTATAGCTGCCACAGAGCATGATGAGCTTTATAAAGATTTCTGTCGATTTCAGAGCATCTGCTTTGACTTTGAGAGATCAGCGGAGTGTGTGTGTGTGTGTGTGTGTGTGTGAGATAGAGAGCACATTTATCACGAGTGCCACTTTTGGCAGGTCTTCAGGTCATATGGTTCTGTTTCCCTCGACGTATGTTCCCCTCTCAGTCGGGCAGTAAGCGAGGAATCTGCGTACAGGACGAGGATATCGACTAATAAACAATCACAAATACAGCTGAGCAGCAGGACATGCTGGGAGCACGGGTGTAGATTACACAGTTTATACTGAGCCTGACGTAAATCTTTATTATAACTGACTCTGTGGTATACATCGCAGGAGACGGCCATAGTTCATTCTTGACGTCGGAGTTTTCAGCCACATTTCATGGTCTTCATCAGCGGATGGAGCGTGTTTCTGTTGGCTCTTCCTATCTGAGGAGGGAACTTTGAAGTTACATGCTGAACTTATGTGATGACAACTGAAGTATTTCCAAGATGTCTGAGCCTGGGCTGCACATGTGTGAAAGCTCGCTGCTGGAGCAAATCGGGTGAAAAATCAAGTAAGAGGACCACAGCATCTCATCCTGCGTCACAGCGGCGCGACTAGACTGTCCCATTTCAGAGGGCTCCTTCAAATGCGTCCGGACAACGAAGGCGCCAACATATCCCAAGATTCATTGCGGGCAGGTAACGAAAGCAAACAACACTGACACACAGCCTGAGGATTAAACTGTCACAACGTCACCGTCTTTTCTTACTGTTTGATTTTCATGTGACACATTGTGCAGAAATAAGAGCTTGAACTGATGCGATGTAAAGACACCCTGTGATGTTTTTAAAGGAGGGTGTATGTGTTCTTTGGATTGCACCTGTTCACATCCATGAAAATTTGACATTAAAATATTAATTTAAAAATCAGCAATACAATAATTGTCAAGGCACCAATCAAGAGAGTCCAGCTTTGAGACCTTTGCTGCAACCTCCATCTGTCTCCACCCGTGTCACCGTCATTCCTCTAAAAATAAACTGCTAAATAACTCTTGTGATGTTATCAGGAATATCTCCCTGTTGCTTGGAGACTAATAATTAGTGATCGATGTTGCGTAGAGTTTATTTATAGAGTTTATGGCAGTCGTTTATCAAGCTTGCATTACGAGAAATGTAGGATCCAGACTAGAGACTAAAATTTCAGCTTTTATTGCTTCATTTTTCCTTTTCTTTTTTTTATCTGACTCTCTAAGACTCTCTACAGTCCACAAACGTCATGGAAGTGCGATATTAAGTTGTTGTAACGGCCCTTTAAAACTCTATAACTGCATCCTGTGCAGCCATATCGGACCCCGACCCGTCACAACACTCACTGCGCTCTCACCTGGCTCAGCTCCACCAGATGTTCCTTCTCCTTCTGCAGCTTCTGCACCGCCTCGTCTTTCTGAAGCAGCTGCTCCGACAGTTGCCTCACCTCACTGTCTGACGACTGCAGAGAGAGAGAGAGAGAGAGAGGTCATTAGATAAAACATATTCTGAATCACCAAACCAAATCAGTTAAACAAATATTTATTACACTTATCAGCACTTCCTGATCTGGCTCTGCTAAAACTCTTTCTGTGGTTTATTAATGTTTTCCTCCCGGGCGTGCAGCCACGATGGCTGGTGAATATCCACACGGCAAAACAATTATCCTCTTATAAACATCACAGCTTTGCATTTGCATGTGGAATATTTTGCAGATATTTTATGAGGACGTAACCGGACGTGTGTGATAGTTAAGAATCTGCTGGAGCTCCGTGCGCCTCTTTCAGAACGGACAGATGAGCGTTTGTTCCTGTGGATCAGACGCATCGTGTCCAGCCTTAACAACTGTTATGACAGCGCACTACAAATATTAGACAGGGTCATTTTTCTCAAAGCCCTGTGTCAACTGCTCTCAGACAGGTCTGTTCTTGTTGCTCCCACTGTGCCGGCGTCTTCTCCCACGTCTCTCCTACAGCATCTTCACCAATTAGCCAAGAAAACCTTCATATAACCGGAGGATCGAGTTCGTCACTTCACAACCCAGATCAAAATTAATCAGTGTAAACTTTCAGAGGCTGAATCATCAACATCTTGTGCCAGTTAAAACTGTTTTTCCATCTTCACATACAGTGGGGAGAGTACAGTACATTCCTGGGACATTCCTGAGCGGCGATAGCATCTTAATCCTTTAATACACCTCAGTGAGAGAGACACGGGGGTCTGGTGAGCGGCTGTAATGGAGACGTCAGAGCAGAATCTGCTTGTTGCCGTCTGCACAGAGGAGAGAGGAGACACTTCTTCATCGTTAAACGTTTAATGTGTTGTTTACCACTTTAATAATTCTGTTTCTGAACGGCAGCAGCAAGTTTAAGTTTAAATAATGGGAGACAAAGTTTAAGTGTCACGTGATAAAGAGACGAGAAGAGGCTCAAAGCTGTGACATCACCTGAGCTGTTTTCCCCGTCAGACAGTAACTACACAGAAGCTGGAGATGCTAATTTAGCCTTAATTTTCATGCTAATCCAATGCTAATTCAGGGCATGGTTGGTGGTGGTGGGGGGTTGTGAACTGAACCTCGAAAACACATCCAGAGGGAAAAAAGGTGCATGTACATACGCAGCAACAAACAGCTCATAACAGTTAGATGCAGCTCTGAACATGCTGCACTTATCTTTACATATTCACCTTGTTTTTTTGTTTTATTGACAGCAGCTGAAGTTGGTTCAGTAACTTTGTGTCAGTCAAATTGCCCAGCGATGTCATTAGCACAAAACCTTTGAGACGTTGCTGTGGAGTAAAGTTTGTCAGCCCTTGGGAGCCCCCTGATAGTCGCCTGCGGTACAACACATGGAGTAACTCAGGATCAAGAGCTCCTTTAATTAGTTGTCTTTGATTAACTTTCTGACATAACATAGTCAGTACCATCTGTATAAAAGGTATCATCAGTCCTGAGGTGAAGATCCCATCATGTCCTACCCGTTTCTCCTGCTCAGCCGCGGTCAGGGCGCCCTCCAGTTCATCCAGGTCTCGCCTGAGGCTGCTGCACTCGGCCTCCAGACTGTCCCTGTGCAGGACCAGCTGGGCCGAGCACGCCTCCTCCTCCTCCAGACGGTCCGACAGACCCGACAGCTGCCGCTCCAACTCGCGCCGGACCTTCTCCAGCTGGACGCAGCGCTGTTCGGACGCCTGGGCGCTCTCCTGCTCCTGGAGGGTCCCAAACACACCATCACAGTCAGTTAATTACTGCGCTGTTACATACAGTACTGGATCCTTTTTGAATTTCACAACATGCATGTTAATTTTTCTTTCCCCCAGTTTTGCCGCTGTGTTTCACACAGCTATGTGATGGGTTGAGTCCTTGAACCCGGGCAAACCTGCTGCTGCCGGTCTCCTGTTCATTTCACTTCAATCACTTGCTTTTTCTTCTTCGTAAAGCACTTACACCTCAAATATAATCATGCTACATTGCATTTAAATGACTCATTTGTCATATGCAATAACAGTATTTTTAAAGAGGAGATTTTCTATTTAACAGAATTAAATGAAAGAAAAGGAGTGAGGTCAAATGAGGCAAGAAAAACAACAGTAGAGAAAGACTGTGGAAAAAAAAGTGAATATGAAGGTTTAGTTGAATAAAAGAGGCTGAAATCCAAATAAAGTAATTAAATGATACAAAGAGGATCTTACCACCGGTTATGCCCCGAGATGAAACTTATCCTCCCCCAAGTCAGAGGAAACCTTCCCTGTATTAGTCTGCTGTTGTCTTAATATAGCAGCTCTGAACACGGTGACGCACAGTCCTGACCTGATAAGCAAGTTCTACCAAAAACCAGATCACTTAGTCAACAGCCATCCATAACAGGAGTGAAAGACCTGACTGTGAGAGCCTGCTCCGGTTATTACTGTTACTTATGGACCAGTCATCATGGGCAAGGCATTTGGAACAAGCTAATAGCATACCCAAATATCTGGGCATCTGTGAAATGATCAGGCGACCACATTTCCATCTGCGTTTATTTCCATAAAAGTACTTGGTTTGAGTTTGTTCCCTGCACTTTTTGAGACGCTCAGTTTTCTGTCTTGTGCTGAGCTGTTTGCACCTTTAACACTTTCCCCCTGAATGTAAGACGACATCAGTCACAGCTTCGACGCACAAACGCACGATGTCTGTACACACAGGTTGGTGCTGCACAAGTACTTACATATATATATATGTATATATATAGATACTGTGTCTGCGCAGACAGTGTAGTGTGAGCAGCACGTCAACAGATCAGCAGCTCTGTGCGTCTGAGCAGGAGGCGTTCAAGCGCAGTGTTGAGTACATGTCACCTGTATATCTGAAGGGCTCTGTGCACCAACACACAATCACTGTAGTTATGAAGGTAAAACAGAGGTAACGTAGAATATAAATACGCTTCCGTTTGCATCTATGGGCTTGTGGCATGACACGCCCCGTGCAGACAGCTGGACTCCTCTATGGTCTATACCTAAGATGGGCCTCGATTATACTTCCTGGTGGACGCGCACATGGACAGCGGCGCACACCGCGGGCGTGAAGTTCCTTGTACAATCACATGTGCAGCTGGTGGCCATGCGGACGAGTCCGTGCAGACAGAACAAAGTGGAGGGGACACGCAGCCTCGCCTACACCCTCCGATGGCACAATGTACATAACACGGACCTTAACAGATCCTCGCGCACTCACACATTCAGAAAGTATAAGACTAGCTTAAATGCTAAACATTTGACACACTTTAGCTGTATCCCAATTTAGAGACTGCGTCCTTCAGAGGACGCTGTCTACAAAGGTGTGGCCCTTGAGGTTTTAGGGAGTGTGGTTTTAAGTGTTAGCCGTTGAACTGAGCTGAAACCCAATAATTACATTTACAAGTGTGTTTACAAGGGCTCTCTGTCGGTGTCGCTTGCTTTCATTACCGGCACGCAATGAATCTTGGGACAGATTGAGTTGCCCAGGAACAGAAAGACGCATTTCTCGGCCGCATTTGAAGGAGCCTTGGAACTGGGACGGCGTAGTCGCGCTGCTGGTCGGTCTTCAAATGCAAACTCTGAAGGATGCTGCCCGTGGATTGGGACACAGCTGTTTGTGTTTGGCAATAAAACAAAATACTTGTTTATGTTCCAGGTTCACAGACGCACTTTAACCTACATCTACCTGTGTTAATTAGCTGCCTGCAGACCTTCACGAAATCAAAAAGAAACTTCAAAAAACTTTGACCAGCGAGCGATTTAGGATTTCAACGTAGTTCACAATCACACAGCAACAGATACCCACAGCTGCTAATCTGTCCTCCAGTGTGGTGCTATAGCTGTCCCAGTCCAGGTCTTCAGGTTCAGGTTCAGGTTCTGGTTCTTGTCCAAAATCTGCCTGGTTCCCACCGACCTCCTCAGACTCATCAGACACGGAGCGGCAGCGCTGACGGAGCGTCACAGACATCATCCTGATTGTACGTCCTCTCGTCTGTTCGCTCTGTTGCCGTGCAGACTTCACCTGTGTGGCACTGTAGCAACTTGCCCGTCTCTCCTGACGGAGCAAAGAGGCTTAATCACTTCTTTTTCCCTCCCTTCACTCGGTGCACAGCTGTTCTGGTTGTTCCAGGTGGGTTTCAGCGGGAGGATCAGATGGCGGATCCTCTCTCTCACAACACATCTTCAGCTCTGCTCAGCCTTTCTTTGCCTTCCTGATTTTTCAGCCTTGTTTTTCTCTGAGCCTTTGCTTTTTCTCCCTTCTCTCTCTCTCTCTCTCTCTCTCTCGTCTTTCTCTCCTCTCAATCAACCATTCATCTTTTCACTTTAGGGTGTGCTGCTATACTTCTGAAATCCAAACATTCCTGCGTCCGTGCCTCCAGCCGGCTCCTCACTGCTACTGCTGATCCCGTGCAGGTGGCCTCCGCTCGGTCCACTCCTCACCACAACCACCACCTCTCCTGTCCTCCAGTCTCCTCCCCAGGAACAGGTGGCTCTCCTGAGTTTCAGGGGGGATCCAAAGGTGTCCCACAGGGACCGCGGTTGGTGTAGGATGTCGGGTCAGGAGAAAAATCCTGTCGTGTCGGTGCCGCTCTGCCACAGAAATGCAGCTCTCAGCCGAACCATCAAAACCGCACCACAAGACGACAAGAAAACAAGGGCACTGTTCCAGGGTCTAAAATGCCTTTTCTCCTCACATTATAATTGACATAAACGTCTTCTGCGCCCACGCCCACACGGTCCCCCACAATGCCACGGTATTCATCTTCCAAAGAACAACGGGGCGTACTGTGCTTCTGATCCAAGCGTGGATGTTTTTCTTGAATGAAGACCTACAAAGACCAGACTGATGTCCATATCTAGAGTTAACATCAGGCAGGGTTGTAAGATGGGGTGATTATTAAGATAAGACAGAACTTTAATAATAATAATAATAATAATAATACCAGCAGAAATCAGACCAATAAAACAGACTGTTTGAACATTCAGAACCAGCTGTTACTTTGAAATCAAATAACTTGATCATAAAAGTTCATTCTTGACCCTGGAAACTGCAGTTTAACAGACAACAGTAAACTCCATCCCCTGATGAAGACCATGACATGCAGTTGAAAGCTCGGGAAGAAAACAAGTGGACCTTGGGTTAATTTTTTTATTGTTTCGGGGCCATATTGCAATTTTGATAATATTTCGATTAATTGTTCAGCCCTAATTAATACTGTATGAAGAGTTTTGTGGGAGCTGTAACATTGCGGAGCCAAAAAGAACTTCTGGATTATGTACCATAAGAAATAAGTGGAAAATACATGCGATAAAAAACCACATAAAGTTCTGGAATAAGGAGAAAACTTATAACTATTAGATGTGCAAAAATTAAATTCTTTGAAGACGAATGGATCCTCAGAGCACCACACAGTTTCTGCACATGTGCTCTAGACCTTCAAGATACACTTTATTTTCAATATGTTAACATTCGAATGTGCAGATTTGAGAGAATATTTGTGTAAAAGGAGAACCCACTAGAATTGGGTGATATCGAAAATTGTATATCTCGATACAGTCCAGCGCAAATATTGTGCTATACGATATTATATATTATATTAGATTATTCACGTGTTTCTTTTACAATGTATAATTGTTATTGTATTTTATTATTATGGTATAACTGAACACTAAACAGCAGTTCAGTAGGGACAGATTGTGCAAAACTGCAGAACTGAAAGTTATGAAAAGTATCACATACGGTGTAAAATACAGCAATATTCGATATCAAATCAAATATTATCAGATATCTGCCCAAGCAGTAAAACCCACATACAAGTGCAGTGATATGTTTGTGCTCACACCACCGTGATGAATTCCCTCACATCCATTGTACAGCAACAGTGAGTCTCACCAGAGTTTGTGGAAATACAACCTTTCTAAATTACATAAAGTTAGAATAACACTGACTCTAAAACGGCCCAAAGTGACCACAGTTATATGACCGAGGATAAGCACTGCGCCAATGCCACTGAGCCGTGGAGGGCGTCCAGCCACCGAGAACACATGAAAACACAGGATTTCTGAGAATTCGGATTGTTTTATTTTGACAATGTGGTCTGGGTTCTTGTGCAGAGAGGCAGCACAGAGAGATCTCTTTCTGTGACTCCCACTTGACATGGAGAAGACAGAGACACTGAGCTCGCCCAGGCTGCCTCTGCAGACACCACTCATGTCCAACACCAACACGTATCGTATCTGACCAGGAGGCTGCCAGTTAATCAGATACGCAGCTAATTCAAACACGGACCAGATCTCCTTCATACCAACTTTAAGGCTCCAGACCAAGGAAAACTGTAAAGGAAGGCCAGTTTCCTGTTTACTCTGCTGTTTCTGAGTCTTATTCATTCATTCATCAAGAGATCTGAATTGTAGTTCATACCGATTACAGAGTCATAAGGTAACATCAGGACACGGTTACTGTGAATGAAAACATTACAGGAAAGCCCTCTTGTTACACTGATGATCTTTGACTATGTTGGGCTCTATCATGCCAAATGAAACTCAGAGTCTCAGGGTGAAAGTTGTGCCTCCACAAGGAAGAAAACTCACTCCGGAAAACCTCTTAGCATCTCAAAGGCACGATGAATGATAACAGTGGAGGGAAGAGGAGGTCGAACGGTCAGTATAGACATCTTTAATCTTAGATATCTATCATGAAGTCTTGTAAAAAACAAGACTGAGTGTCTACGACCATGGAAGTGGCTCTGTGAAGCTGGAGCTAGGCAGAGTTATGCTTTGAGCTAAATGCTACTGTCTGCATTACAACCAATTGTTTGTGGCGAACATATGGTCACCCACCTGTCACTCAAAGAGGCCACGCCCTCAATTCTCCATAACCTTAGTCCTTAATAAAATGTAAACAGGTGAGTTATATAAACAGGTGTCATGAAGGAGGAAATTAGCTCTAGAGACCAACACAGTTTTTGTACCAGGCTGTAAACATGTTTATTTCTGCTGTAAAGTTGGACATTTTAACATGGGAGTCTATGGGGACTGACTCACTGTTGGAGCCAGGCTCTAGTGGCCATTAGAGGAACTGCAGCGTCTGGTTCTTCAGTGTTGGCTGTTGTAAACTTTTCCATTTTAACATGGGAGTCTATGGGGACTGACTCACTGTTGGAGCCAGGCTCTAGTGGCCATTAGAGGAACTGCAGCTTCTGGTTCTTCAGTGTTGGCTGTTGTAAAGTTTTACATTTTAACATGGGAGTCTTGACAAAAATGTCAGCCTCACGGTGGCATTAGGTGGAAAGTCAGGGGTTCACTAAAGTCATTAGAATTTACTGGGAGCCACAAAAATATTTATTTAGTGGTTGTTGAAACAGACAAACTGACGCTGCTGTTTCTAGAATCATGCTGCTAGCATGGCTAAAATCAATCTCAGCAGGAAATCTTTTCCAATAATAGAGTAAAAACCCAAACTCAAAGCTCAGCACAAGACAGAATATGAAAAGTTTGTTGAAGTGAGAAGCCGTCAGTACTTCCAGTCTACCTGACTGTCTCTACCACAATCTGTTGGCCTCGACTTTCGCCTGACACTCACCTCAAACTTTATCTCTCCTCACCAATTTGTTAATATATTAATTTGCTTCCTTCCTCTTTGCCTTTGAACATTAAGTCAAGCTTCCATTCCCTAGCCTCTCCTCACCCTCCTCTCGCCTCCCCTCTCCACCCTCATCCATCTCTCCCTGCCAGTCTTTTGTCCCACAGTTTGCCTTGGGCCCCAGAAACTTCAGAGCCAGTCCAGACTGAAAGTTTTTCCAGATGCAGAACTGGGGCATCTGGATCGCTCTGCAGGAACACTCCACATTTATTTCCCATTAACAGCAATTGAGGGGTAAACAGTGGACTTTTCTCTGTTTATATCCATTTGTACCAGAGATGTTTGGAACAACAGTAGAAGTAAAGAAAACCTTTTCTTGCAGCGGTAATCCTCAAATTCCTCATTTGGTTTTATTGTCTGTCTTTTACTGGTGTTTTTGTGCTGCACTTCTGAATACGAGTAGTTAATCACAGAGTGGGTGGTACTGTCACGTCTTTTTCCCCTGGTGGTTTTTCTCTTGGTGACACTTTTTAGCTAAGCTGGTGGCATGGCTGCAAATGGCAGTATCCGTTTGTCGGTCCACCTCTTTGGTCCAGACTGAAATATCTCATCAGCTATTGGACGGATTGCCATGAAATTTTGTAGAGATATTCATGGTTCACAGAGAGTGAATCCTCCTGATTTTGATGGTTCCCTTACTTATCCTGTTGTGCCACCATTACGCTGACATTTATGGTCTTTAGTGAAAAGTCTGGAGAACTATTAAATGGATTGCCATTAAATTTGGTACAGATGTTTGTGGTGCCCCAACAACTTTGTTGATCCCCTAACTTTTCATTTACCTTCTTTAGCAGTTCAAGCTTTTCATTTATGCAGTCTAAGCATCTACTGAACTCAAGCAAAAAACTTGGTAAACCTATTCATGATTCCCAGAAGATGTATTTTAACGGCCTTGGTCATCACCTGACGTTTCCCCTAAAGCCACCATGAAGTTTACTTTTCTGTTTTTCAGTGAAACTATTGAATGGATTTCTATAAAATTTGGGAGAGACATTCACGTCCCCCTCAGGATGAATTGTATTAACTTTGGTGATCCCCTGAATTTTCATTTAGCTCCATCATCAGTTCTTTTGATGTGTCCAATAACTTTGGCTTATGATCAAATATCTGCAAAACAGCTGATGAGTTCGCTCTGTGAGGCTGGAGCTAGGCAGAGTTATGCTTTGAGCTAAATGCTAAAGTCTGCATTGCAACGATAGATTGTAAATAAAGATGGACGTAGCCTCCGTGACGTCACCCACAGGTTTCTGAAGAGCAGTTTTGAAGCTCAGAGTGAGCTGCTCCACCGTCGCCATCTTGGCAGTGCCTGACCCTGCCCCTAACCTCCAGCTAATCCAAAAATGGGCAAAGAGGTGGGACGTGTGTGGAGCTCAGACTTTGGTGCATACTGGTTTGTGACAAACATACGCTCACCCACCTGTCACTCAAAGAGGCCACGCCCTCAATTATCCATAACTTTAGTACTTAATAAAATGTAAGTAAGTGTAAGTTAAGAGAAAGAAATTAGCTCTAGACACCAAAACAGTTTTTGTACCAGGCTGTAAACATGTTTACTTCAGCTGTAAAGTTGGACATTTTAACATGTGAGTCTATGGGGACTGACTCACTGTTGGAGCCAGACTCTAGTGGTCATTAAAGCAACGGCAGCTTCTGGCACTTCAGCGTTGGCTTCATCTTTCAGGCCCTGGAGGTTGCTGCTTGGTGCCAACATGGCAAGACTTTATGTCATGCTAACTACGCACCTCTTATTCTGGGGTTGTTAAATCGGACTTAAGGAGTCAGTACCCTTTAAATGGTCAAATGGCTTCTGAAACCCACTTGCCCCTAAACCTTTCCGACATTGGATTAAGGATGGGGTCCGTGTCCGCCCACTTCTTTAACTTTCCGAAACCAACAATCCAACATTCACACCCACCTCAAAATGCGCTGGGTTTGAACTCTGGCTCTCTTTTTTCATTTGTTACACAACTATTTATGGCACTTTTCATGTGAACAACTGAATGCAGCACCATTAATGTCTTCCTGATGAGACTGTCTGAAAATGTGTGCTGCTCAGATCAGCTATAAAGAGTCCTGACGTGGTCTGACAGCACGTCTTCTGACCTAGTTCTAATAGATCACAACCTGGCCCTTATAAAAGAATCCAGTGAACTAGAAAAGTATAAACTTAACACCAGGTGTTTCATACAAAAAATGTAATATCAGTCAGAGGCTGAGATTCACAAGTGGAAAACATTCTCTCTTTCTCTTTTTTTAAGAATGTAGATTTTAAGTTGAAAATAAGTACTTCAAAAGCATGTGAGTGATGACCTTACGGGGCAGTGATCGATTGTGAAGCAGGACTTCATGGTACCCCCGATGACAGATGTGTGAAGTGTCCATGCAGCTTTACCAAACAATAGGGGATAATGAGGAACGGGACCAAGTTCCCCTGGAAAACTGGAAAGCTTCCTACAGGCAGCAGCACTAAATAGCTCTGACAAGGGGGGTCACATTTCTAACTGCAGTCAAATCAGAAGGGCTCCGAGGTATGAATTATGCTGGCTGATCTGTCTCCTTCGCAGATTAACTTCATTATTTATGGTTGGCTAATCCAAGCAGTGAAGAAAAGACGCACTTGGAGCCAGAGCACACCTGGTGATTTCAATAAAAAGAAGTTGTTTTTGTCAGTAAAAGGGTAATAAAAAGAGAAAGAGGGATTATAGAGCGAACACTTTACTTTTACTGAAATTAAAGAATGTGCATTGTGGAGGAAAAACAAGAGTTGCAGTGATTTTAAACCCACTTTTTAGACTGACGTATATCAGTAAGTTAAGGGTTTTTCTCGCAGTATCAGGATGATCATCGACACCTGCTAACGGTCACCATATTCAAAAAGGCACACAGACAAAGATCCACAGTGACACATGAATCTGTCATATCCAGACAGCAGGAAAACTCAGACTGACGCAGCTGCAGTCCAGCTCCTCGTGCTGGTTTATGATGTGTTCCATCGAAGCCGACTGAAGAGTCTGCTAAGGCACTCAGCACCAGTAATGATCAAATCCCACGGGCAGATCTGGAGCGTTTTCCACAAACATTGGCAACACCAGCGCCGCTACACACTCTCACACTAAACCAACACACTCTCCCACGCACACGCTTTTGGAAAATGAGACAAACATCCAAAACAAAATCAATTCTCTCATCGACGTAGACGTTATCTTCAAGTGAGTCTCTGGATAAAACACTTATTCTGTTTTACTTTGCTCTGTTTTTTTCTTCTGTTATCTGGGGACAAATAAAGTTCTACTTGACTTGACTTCTTCACTTCCAAGGAGTATTAACATGTATGAACCAAACCACAGAATTTAATTAGCAAAGGTTTGGATGCTCAATTTAGGTGTTCTCTGTAATGTTTGGTCAGATGGTGATATCTGTATATGGTTTTATTCTCCGAGCACGTAACTACAGTATTGATCTTTAGCAGGAATAAAATAATTCATGATCAAAGGTCCATTTATTAACTCTGGTCCATATACTCCTATGGTACCATAGACTGTAAATAAAGATGGACGTTGCCTCCATGAAGTCACCCACAGGTTTCTGAAAAGCGGTTTTGAGGCTCAGAGTGAGCTGCTCCACTGTCACCATCTTGGCAGTGTCTGACTCCGCCTCTAACTCCCAGCTAATCCAAAAATGGATAAAGAAATGGGGCGTAGGTGGAGCCGAGTTAATAACTGTGGCAAGCACACGCTCCCGTTAGCATCGTTAGCTGGGCGTATGGGCGTCTTGCTCGAAAGCTAAGGCCATGGCTGTTTATACTCTGCTACACATCAGCCTGCTACTAAACTAAAAACCCCAACACCTAAATACCCATAACTAATTCCCCCAGTCCCGTGGGGTAGCTACAACTTTGTCTGCTAGACACAGAACCACATGCAAACTATTCAATAAATAAATTAGAGACAAACACATCTCACGTGCAACTGTCTGCTTCTCTGTGTTTGTTCTTTGTGACTTGGGGCAAGAGAACAAGATTTATTTTGGTTCATTTCGGGGAATTTTATGTCTGTATTAGGTAGTGACAGTGGAGATGGAGAGGAAATACAGAGAGAGAGAGTAGGGGAATGACATGTAGTAAGTGGTCCAGCCAGCCGGGAGTCGAACCGGGGAAATGCTGCTCAGGTCATTTGAGCCCATGTGGTATGCGCCCTAACCATTCGGCAATCAGGTCGCCACTAAACGAGCTTTACACACAACATTGAGTTATTATGACCTTATTAGGTTGTGGTGAATCTAGAAGACACGGACCAACATTAGCTGTAATTCTGAGATGTGTTTGTGGACACCAGGCAAATTCTAGATTCGCTCTCCCTTTAGCTCCGTTTTGGTCTCCACCACCGTCAGCTGCTCGATGCTGCACTATTCTACACTATGCTAAACTAGCTGTTCGCTAACTTTGTCTGTCTGCTGTTTGGTGCTGGGCAGGTTGAAGACAGTGGGTTGACCAAAACTTTTTCAATACCTGACTGTGGCAGGAAATAATAAGATCGATGAGAGTAGTGAAAGTGAATCCCCAACAGTAAAACAGTGAGCTGGAAGATCCTTGAAACACTCTGTGAGGGAAACTGCTGAGCTGCGTCATAAATCTTTGCGGGTTGGTCACCACAAGCAACTCCTACCATATTACAACCAGTCATTTGGTCCAAAGATACTGGTTAGTGCAGACTCAAACTTTGATCTTCTCAGCAGTTAAATGAAAATGTCCTGTATGTACAGACTGAATTCTTCTAACAGGACTGTTGGTTTGTATTTCTCACAGTCAGACTCGTGGTAACACCTCCTCCCTGCAGAAGGGGATGCGCCACTCACACGGTCCTCGCAGTAAACCAACCAGTCACACGGCGCGCCTCGGGCCAGGAAACAGCACGGTGCCTCACAACACTATGACAGCAGGCCGAGTAAAGAAACTCTCCGCTCGCTCTCTCAATAAAACGATCAGCTGGAAAATGGTCAACACAGCAGTAAAAACCCGCAGCATTAAAACAAGCTCGAACACAGCGACTGCCATGGTGTCTGCATCTCTCCCCCCCCCCTCTGCAAGGCTATCATTATCCACTTAATTTCATCCACCCGGGGTTGGTATAATGACCACGTTCAGAATCCCTTATCGAGCAGAAATTCAGACTTAATCACAAATCATGAGTTCTAAAGTATCGAGTGAGCGAAACAAAAGAGGAGAGATTCTCTTAAAGGGGAAAAAAAAGAAGCAAAGAGGGAGCAGACTTACAGCTCGGTACTTAGAGGACACCTCATCCTTCTCCTGGTGGAGCTCAGAGTTCTGCTCCTCCAGCTCCCGGACCCTGGACAGGAGCCGGTCACTCTGCTCTATGGCTCTCCTCAGCTCCTCTCTCTCCCTCATCCCTGCCTCCTGTGTGTGAATGTGCTGCTGCAACGACAGACACCCGACCTGGATCAGCCACACTCACACACACATGCACACGCACACACACACACGCACACACACACACACACACACACACACACAGAAAGCCTGATATTTAGCTGGCTCTCTGACCGAATCCCTCTCACTTTTGTTCACTTCTGTCTGGAGTCTGAACTGAACTGTACCCCCACCTCTCTCCACAAACACACACACACACACACACACACACACACACACACACACACACACACACACACACAGTCAAAGAGCTTTGCCCTCTAAAAGACGTCCACATGCATGTATGAACACATGCACATGTGCCCACATTTCCTCCCCTCTCTCCACGTTGGACTTCTTTCCCTAAAACAATATAAAACCTGCTGCTGCTCCGGAGTCATGAAGGAGAAATAACTTTTCTTTCTTTCTGCACTGACTTCTAAGAAATTTGCCAAATCCAGTAAAAGATGAACATAATTTTTAAAGCTAGAAACCACAGACCTTGCACTTAAACATAACAGCTTCTGCCACAGGAGTAAATGTAAATGTAAGAGAAAGTTCACAGAGAAAGGCTTTGTTCTCATCGGGTGTTCGGTCGACTTTAACACACAATACAGGTAATTTACCATTTCTAACAAAACCTAGACATTCAGAAGAAGGGAAAGCACAAAATATTCTTACAGATGACAGATGACACTTTGAACATATGGATGCTTCCTGAGAAGACGCAGGACTGATTGATTTTTCCGGCTATTACTATAGACTGTGGAGCAGGTGGAGCTGACTATGACACCTCCACCCGTCTGATACCTCCAGCCAGTTAAAACAAACACTATGAACTGCAGCCTGATCGCTACGTGGTACAGAGGCCAAAGGTCAAAGACTGATGGAGACACAGTAGAGACACAGACAGTGAAATAACATACAAAACAGCTGACACTTGATATGATTCAGTTCTAGGACTTACTAATGTTAAATTTTGTGGCTTAGTACTTAATGTGTAGCACTAACATGAAACTGAATGATGCCATGAACCTTTATTTAATCACGCAGTCTCAGTGAAATCAAGACCTCAGAGGACAGAAATATTCAACAACAAACAAAACTAATGATATTAATTACAAAAAACATAATCTAAATAATTGCTATAATCAACCTTGAGGGCAGGTTGCAATCCTGTACTGTAGTTCCACATTTTAGATGCACTGATAGTAAAACTTTATAGACAAATATCATGAGATGGTGATTTCATCTTTTCAATATAGAAGTTCATCCAACTTAGTTCTTTTACTGTAAAAATTTACTGTAAGTGATAAAGTGTAACGCACCATGACTGGGTTTAACTGCTGAAGAGCAAATATAAAATGTGACTGAACAACAGTTTTTCTGTAGTTCCCCTCAGCTCTGCTGAGCATTTTAGTGTCTTTCAGCTCATTGTCTTGGTTTTACGATACATAATCTTGAGCATTTAGCAGATAAAGAGCCTGGTATTTCCCTTGGGAGTGGATGGAGACTGAAAAAAGCTAAAAGAGAGTGAATATTTGACTTACATTCATCAAGTTGGTCACTTTCTTATCTGAATTTAAAGCTCCATATTTTCTTCTTCTTCTGTGTTTTATTTTGAAGCATTGATCCATAAGAAGATGTATTTGTGGTTTCATCTCAGTGTAGTTTTACATCTCCTCTCTCAGGCTTCTCTCTGGAGCTCTGGTAACAACAGGTCTGTGAGCCAATCAAAAGAGAGGAGGCGCTGAGCCTCTCTTCTGATTGGCTGACTGTTTTCTGAGTGATCCAATAAAAATATATCAGATTTCCGGTTAAACACTGAGAAACCAAATCCAGCAAGGTTTGGATGGTGGGTCCAGGTGGGCGGGGCTGAGAGCGGTGACTGCTTTGTTGTGACATCACAAAGTTCCAGCAGTCCTGAGAATAATGGGACCTTTAAACCAAGTCTAAATTCACAGCCATGCCAGCTGTGAGGATTTACTTTGGTGGCACTAGAGGGGAGGAGCCTGGGGTTGGAGAGGACCAATGGGCATGAAAATGAATGTCAGCGAACTGATTAGGAAGAATAATGTAACGTCAGTAGAGTCTGCACTGAATTCTTTACATTACAAGGCCTTGTAAGTCATAAACACCCACATTTACTGCATCATACACAGCAAACAACCTTGACCTAAATGCACCATCTAAAGTAACTAATGCATCTTGCAGAGAGCAGTTGTCTGCTGCATCAGAGTCAGCCTCCTTTTATTTTCTCTCCACACCCAACAAGACTCTACAAGTCGTTTAGTCTTTTTACTTCCAAAGCACAAAAACAACGTGTAGTTTCCTTCCCTGGAAAAACAGATGTGAGCTGATTTTCCACAGTGAGATTTGAAGACGAAGAAGCAGTTTAAAAGGGAAAGCTCTGTTATAGAAAGACAGGCAGAATACAAGTACACACACACACACACACATAGAGAAACCTGTTGCTGCTTGAATGCCGGTATCTGTGCCATTGGAAAAGAGCTGTCATTAGCTCAGCTCTCTGAACCCTGACAGTGAGTTTACCCTTCAGACCTGACAAACCGGGGGAAATTAGACAGGGAAATGTGGTATCATCTTTCTTAAGTGTGCCTCGGTAATTGCCACGTTGTCCAAATAAGATTTAGGACAAGTGCGTTTTAACCGCCATGAGAATCTGCCTGCTGACACACCTGAACTTCCTCTGCCTACAGTCAGTTTAAACACACAATATATTTACCTGTCAGAGCAGGATTTACCACCGCACTCACCATCACTCTGCACACTGATGCCAGAGAGGCAGAGGAAGATGAATGTGACACGTCAATGGTTCACCTTTAACATGATCACAGGGCTCAACGTCTTAAGCCAGCGCTATTGTTGAGAATGCAAAAATCAAATGCTCTCTTTGTTGCCACTCAATCCCTCTTTGCATGGTGAATACGAGTTACACTTAAGCAAAGTTTTTCGTGTTTTGACTTGAAGCTCTGAGATTTTCGTCTGATCGAACCTGCAGAGCAGAAACAGACACACACTTCCCTCCCGACAAAAAGCAATCTGATCTGTACAAACTGTTTCTACTCAGTTTAAAATGACTCTTTTCACATTTTTCTCGCAATTCCCCAAGTGTCCTCTGATTCCTGACATTCCCAGTCTGAGAGGAGGTAGCTGGGGTATTAATCCTATGATCTCCATTCCTTTCTTTTATTTGAACAGCTGTTCACGATCTCAGCTCTGATTCACACCTGCAGGTGGTTCAGATGCTACTGGCTGCAGCCTCAAGCCCAGTGTCCCAGTCAAACTACTCAAACATGTAGGAGAAAGAAAGAAACTAACATTATGCCATTACAACAACGTGTGCACAAAGCTTTGCACAAATAAAGTGCTTGCAGATTGTAGTTTTGCTCAGCATTTTCAGAGGCAAAGCTGCTGTGGAAGAAGAAATCCACAGAGAGTGACAGATTTTCCAGAGAGTTAAATGATGGTCAATACTTTCAGTGACCAGAAAATAAGCGCCTGCACAATGTAATACAATCACAGCACTGGCTTGTTGCTCACAAATTCACAAACCAAAATATTCATCTTTAGCAGGCAGCTCTTCACAACATGGAGCAGATTGTTCTGTCTGTGTAGCATTTATAAGGAAGTAAAGTGATGGCAGTGCCAGTTAAAACCTGTAGATGTGAACATGTTGTGTCCATACAGGCAAAGAACGCTTTCAATAGCTGCTTTAATTTTAACAACTTCAGGCAATAATTGTTAGAGCTACAGTTCTTCTGATGTTTTCTTTGTGTGCATGTGTGTGTGTGGTTTTAGATTTTAAAAACCTGGTCCATCAAAATGTGGCAGAACAAAGTTCACTGATCAATCTTTGCAAAACAGGTGGTTTTGGAAACAACATCTGCCTGGGTCCTCGGCCCAATTATGGCCCATATACTTCCACATCTGGGCAGAGTCCGGTTGTTATCCTGTGGTATTGGATGACAGCTGTAAGAATTTCTGTGTGCACCAGAACTGGTCCGGATGTGGACGTAGCATCTAACCATCATGCTGTATATGGGCCAGATTCAGGCCGTGGAGCCGGGTGTATACTGGGCCAGACGAAAACAAGCATGTGGGCCAAGTATGGGTCGGATTAATTTTGCTATCTGGGAAGCTGGTCGAGACATGCTATTACTATTCAGTAACAATAAAAATCCAAGTTAGCTATCTTGTAATCTGTCACTTAGCAAGCTAGCTAGCTTGGTCATAAAATCAACCAAGCTAGCTGGTGCAAATGGTACAAATACATCTCTTTAATAAAGTGCTAGCTTGGTCCATTTAGTGACCTTTCTCCTTCCTGTCTGAACAGGTTTTAGGATTATTCTTCTGAACTGACAATCATATCAAATGTGCAGTATCACTTCTATGGTAATCTTCAACATATTATCATTAACTGAGAGTGATTCACTCCACTGATGATGTAGCGCCCTGTATTTACCTTGGTAATCTTCATGTCTCATTGTCTGGACTGTAGTTGAAGCACAGCGGAGACGCGGGAAATCAGGTGTTGATGATTCGTAGCATTTATTTACTAACCAACAGCCTGAAGTGCACATACGTCACACTGTTACGTTCACAGCTAACGGCTAACTAACAAGGTAACTCTCTTCCGGTCGCCAATATCACCGTTCTCCCTCTCTCCCTCTCTCTCTCTCTCTCTCTCTCTACGTACCGACCGCGCTAACATGCTAACATGCTAACGGCCCATCGACGTGATCTCCTGATCGTCTCTGAAGGTGGTGCTGTTGCTTTGGTCTGAAACGGTGAGATAACCACGCCCCCTCCTTACAGATGGATATATATATATAAAATGCTGGGAAATAAATGTGGCATTTGGAAATAAAAGTCTCCCGAAATAAATAAATGTGGAATCATAAAATAAATGTCCCCCGAAATAAATAAAAATGTCATTTTAAAAATAAAAATCTATT